CGGTAGTACCTCCCTGGGTGGTTGCTGTCTACCAACCTACTACCACAGGACGGTTAGTACCTCCCTGGGTGGTTGCTGTCTACCAACCTACTACCACAGGACGGTAGTACCTCCCTGGGTGGTTGTTGTCTACCAACCTACTACCACAGGACGGTAGTACCTCCTGGGTGGTTCCTGTCTACCAACCTACTACCACAGGACGGTAGTACCTCACTGGGTGGTTGTTGTCTACCAACCTACTACCACAGGATGGTGGAACCTCCCTGGGGTGGTTGCGTCTACCAACCTACTACCACGGACGGTAGTACCTCCCTGGGTGGTTGCTGTCTACCAACCTACTACCACAGGAGGTATTACCTCCTGGGTGGTTGCTGTTACCAACCTACTACCACAGGACGGTAGTACCTCCCTGGGTGGTTGTCTACCAACCTACTACCACAGGACGGTAGTACCTCCCTGGGTGGTTGCTGTTACCAACCTACTACCACAGGACGGTAGTACCCCCCTGGGTGGTTGCTGTTTACCAACCTACTACCACAGGACGGTGTACCTCCCTGGGTGGTTGCGTCTACCAACCTACTACCACAGGACGGTAGTACCTCCCGGGGTGGTTGCTGTCTACCAACCTACTACCACAGGACGGTAAGTACCTCCCAGGGTGGTTGCTGTCTACCAACCTACTACCACAGACGGTAGTACCTCCCTGGGTGGTTGTCTACCAACCTATACCACAGGACGGTAGTACCTCCCTGGGTGGTTGCTGTCTACCAACCTACTACCACAGGATGTAGTACCTCTCTGGGGGGTTGCTGCTACCAACCTACACCACGGACGGTAGTACCTCCTGGGTGGTTGCTCTCTACCAACCTACTACCACAGGACGGTAGTACCTCCCTGGGTTGTTGCTGTCTACCAACCTACTACCACAGGACGGTAGTACCACCCTGGGCTGTTGCTCTCTACCGACCTACTACCACAGGACGGTAGTACCACCCTGGGCTGTTGCTCTCTACCAACCTACTACCACAGGACGGTAGTACCTCCCTGGGCTGTTGCTGTCTACCAACCTACTACCACAGGACGGTAAGTACCTCCCTGGTGGTTGCTTTTTTACCAACCTACTACCACAGGACGGTAGTACCTCCCTGGGTGGTTGCTGTCTACCAACCTACTACCACAGGACGGTAGTACCTCCCTGGGTGGTTGCTGTTTACCAACCTACTACCACAGGACGGTAGTACCTCCCTGGGTGGTGCTGTCTACAAACCTACTACCACAGGACGGTAGTACCTCCCTGGGTGGTTGCTGTCTACCAACCTACTACCACAGGACGGTAGTACCTCCCTGGGTGGTTGCTGTAAGAACCTACTACCACAGGACGGAAAGTACCTCCCTGGGTGGTTGCTGTCTACCAACCTACTACCACAGGACGGTAGTACCTCCCAGGTGGTTGCTGTCTACCAACCTACTACCACAGGACGGTAGTACCTCCCTGGGTGGTTGTTGTCTACCAACCTACTACCACAGGACGGTAGTACCTCCCTGGGTGGTTGCTGTCTACCAAGCTACTACCACAGGATGGTAGTACCTCTCTGGGTGGTTGCTGTCTACCAACCTACTACCACAGGACGGTAGTACCTCCCTGGGTGGTTGCTCTCTACCAACCTACTACCACAGGACGGTAGTACCTCGCTGGGTGGTTGCTGTCTACCAACCTACTACCACAGGACGGTAGTACCCCCCTGGGTGGTTGCTCTCTACCGACCTACTACCACAGGACGGTAGTACCTCCCTGGGTGGTTGCTCTCTACCAACCTACTACCACAGGACGGTAGTACCTCCCTGGGTGGTTGCTGTCTACCAACCTACTACCACAGGACGGTAGTACCTCCCGGGTGGTTGCTGTCTACCAACCTAACTACCACAGGACGGTAGTACCTCCCTGGGTGGTTGCTGTCTACCAACCTACTCCCCAGGACGGTAGCCTCCCTGGGTGGTTGCGGGTCTACCAACCTAACTACCACAGGACGGTAGTACCTCCCTGGGTGGTTGCTGTCTACCAACCTACTACCACAGGACGGTAGTACCTCCCTGGGTGGTTGCTGTCTACCAACCTACTACCACAGGACGGTAGTACCTCCCTGGGTGGTTGCTGACTACCAACCTACTACCACAGGACAGAAGTACCTCCCTGGGTGGTTGCTGTCTACCAACCTACTACCACAGGACGGTAGTACCTCCTGGGTGGTTGCTGTCTCCCAACCTACTCCCACAGGACGGTAGTACCTCCCTGGGGTGGTTGGCTGTCTCCAACCTACTACCACAGGAGGTAGTCCCCTCCCTGGGTGGTTGCTGTCTACCAACCTACTACCACAGGACGGTAGTACCTCCCTGGGTGGTTGCTGTCTACCAACCTACTACCACAGGACGGAAGTACCTCCCTGGGTGGTTGCTGTCTACCAACCTACTACCACAGGATGGTAGTACCTCCCTGGGTGGTTGCTGTCTACCAACCTACTACCACAGGACGGTAGTACCTCCCTGGGTGGTTGCTGTCTACCAACCTACTACCACAGGACGGTAGTACCTCCCGGGGTGGTTGCTGTCTACCAACCTACTACCACAGGACGGTAGTACCCCCCTGGGTGGTTGTCTACCAACCTACTACCACAGGACGGTAGTACCTCCCTGGGTGGTTGTCTACCAACCTACTACCACAGGACGGTAGAAACCCCCCTGGGTGGTTGCTGTCTACCAACCTACTACCACGGGAGGGTAGTACCCCCCTGGTGGTTGCTCTCTACCAACCTACTACCACAGGATGGTAGTTACCTCCCTGGTGGTTGCGGGTCTACCAACCTACTACCACAGGATGGTAGTACCTCCCAGGGTGGTTGCTGTCTACCAACCTACTACCACAGGATGGTAGTACCTCCCTGGGTGGTTGCTGTCTACCAACCTACTACCACAGGATGGTAGTTACGTCCCTGGGGTGGTTGCTGTCTACCAACCTACTACCACAGGATGGTAGTACCTCCCTGGTGGTTGCTGTCTACCAACCCTACTACCACAGGACGGTAGTACCTCCCTGGGTGGTTGCTGTCTACCAACCTACTACCACAGGATGGTAGTACCTCCCTGGGTGGTTGTCTACCAAACCCTACTACCACAGGACAGTAGTACCTCCGTGGGTGGTTGCTGTCTACCAAACCCCTACTACCACAGGACGGTAGTACCTCCCTGGGTGGTTGCTTTTCTACCAACCTACTACCACAGGACGGTAGTACCTCCCTGGGTGGTTGCTGTCTACCAACCTACTACCACAGGATGGTAGTACCTCCCTGGGTGGTTGCTGTCTACCAACCTACTACCACGGGAGGGTAGTACCTCCCAGGGTGGTTGCTGTCTACCAACCTACTACCACAGGATGGTAGTACCTCCCTGGGTGGTTGCTGTCTACCAACCTACTACCACAGGATGGTAGTACCTCCCTGGGTGGTTGCTGTCTACCAACCTACTACCACAGGATGGTAGTACCTCCCTGGGTGGTTGCTGTCTACCAACCTACTACCGCAGGACGGTAGTACCTCCCTGGGTGGTTGCTGTCTACCAACCTACTACCACAGGACGGTAGTACCTCCCTGGGTGGTTGCTGTCTACCAACCTACTACCCACAGGCGGTAGTACCTCCCTGGGTGGTTGCTGTCTACCAACCTACTACCACAGGACGGTAGTACCTCCCTGGGTGGTTGCTGTCTACCAACCTACTACCACAGGACGGTAGTACCTCCCTGGGTGGTTGCTGTCTACCAACCTACTCCCACAGGATGGTAGTACCTCCCTGGGTGGTTGCTGTCTACCAACCTACTACCACGAGGGTAGTACCTCCCTGGGTGGTTGTTTGTCTCCCAACCCTACTACCACGGATGGTAGTACCTCCCTGGGGTATTGCTGTCTACCAACCTACTACCACAGGATGGTAGTACCTCCCTGGGTGGTTCTGTCTCCAACCTACTACCACAGGAGGTAGTACCTCCCTGGGTGGTTGCTGTCTACCAACCTACTACCACAGGATGGTAGTACCCCCTGGGTGGTTGCTGTCTACCAACCTATACCACAGGTGGTAGTCCTCCCTGGGTAGTTGCTGTCTACCAACCTACTACCACAGGATGGTAGTACCTCCCTGGGTAGTTGCTGTCTACCAACCTACTACCACAGGACGGTAGTACCTCCCTGGGTGGTTGCTGTCTACCAACCTACTACCACGGGAAACGGTAGTACCTCCCGGGGTTGGTTGCTGTCTACCAACCTACTCCACAGGACGGTAGTACCTCCCTGGGTGGTTGCTGTCTACCAACCTACTACCACAGGACGGTAGTACCTCCCTGGGTGGTTGCTGTCACCAACCTACTACCTAGGAGGAATTAACATGTTCATTATATATCTATTACAATCTCAAGTGAGCATTATCTATTATTATTCAGATGGTTGGACAAAGCTAGTACAACGGGTTTTTAAAATAGATATAAATGCAGAACAGAACTTTTACTAAAAAGATTTTTATACTCAAAAATGTTACACAGCAAAATATCATTGACAATAAAAGTTCTGATCTGATTTATGTCTATTTCAACTGGTCAGTTAAACATAAGTTCTCCTCAGAGCAGAAGAGTATCAAAATGATGAGTAAATGTTAGTGTAGCAAGTAATAATGATGAGAAAATTTTAGTGTAGCAAGTAATAATGATGAGAAAAATGTTAGTGTCCCAAGTAATAATGATGAGTAAATTGTTAGTGTAGCAAGTAATAATGATGAGAAAATTTGTTAGTGTAGCAAGTAATAATTGATGAGTAAATGTTAGTGTAGCAAGAAATAATGGATGAGTAAATTTTAGTGTAAGCAAGTAATAATGAGAGTAAATGTTAGTGTAGCAAGTAATAATGATGAGTAAAATGTTAGTGTAGCAAGTAATAATGATGAAACAAAGGCGCAGACTTACTGAGGAAGCATAGCCAAGCTTGAGCAATCTTATCTTTTCTTAAGTTGTTCTCATTTAGGGTGTCTTTTGGAGGAACCAGGTAAAACGCCTCATGGGGATTGGAGTATAATATTCAGAGTTGAGTATTGTGTCGATTATCTCGAAGAACTCCCGAGACATTGGCTTGATGGCTATGTGATCTTCATCGACATAGCGAGTCATGGGATACACGTACCTGTTGATAGTAACAATAATTATGTTATCAATATTAAAACTAATGCAGTAACTCCTATTTTACAAGTATTGGCCACTACTGATATTCATACAGTGGTGACAACATCAATGGCTGCCCCCTATCTTTGCAGTCCCCTGGCCCAATCTAAGCTCCAATTACGGCCTAAATGATTGTACTCCTGCACTGACCTACATGGAACCAATAATGACCAAAAAAAAGAATGTTCGAGATGTAGACAAGCTGACCATTTACAAGTAAAAGAGGACTGCCCGGCATACCAAACACCAGCCTGCTGCCAGATGTAACACTAGCCAAGCAAAGGTTACCACTATAGTAGCTCTATGTCAACTGTGCTAGAGTTTCTCATGAGATGGAAAAATAGAAGAAACAACTGCAAGATGAACACCAAAACTCCTAGAAAACTGTTACCCATAATGTCTACCCTAAAGGACACCAGTGCATCTTCCACCCCCCTCACCCCCACCTGGACTAATACAACAACAACAATGGCAGGTGACTCCAAATCTTTCTCTGGATTCGGTCAACATTCATCCTCACCCAAGTCTCACAACCAAGCTGACTTTTCTTCCACTACTATGGCAAACACTCAAGACCTCTTCATCCCAAATGGCATCATTGACTACAACTCATTAACCCTTAAACTGTCCAAACGTAGATCTACGTTTGCACGCGTAGTGCTCCGAACGTTGATCTACGTTTTTTTTTAAATTGTTTCTTATGGAGAAAATTAAGGTCGGAGCACTACGCGTACAAACATAGATCTATGTTTGGACAATTTAAGGTATAGCCCAGGTATGCAGTCCTCAACAAAGACTTGACACCATTGATAAAATTCTACAGGAACATAGTATGCTGAGTGGGCAAAATGAAACCTACGAAAAACTGATTACAGACCCAAAACAATAAGATTAGTGACCTAGAGCGCCATCTAACAACACAAAAGCTCGAGGATTACTGAACTAGAAGTCAAACTGACAATCTTAACAAACACGACCAAGCAACACGCAAACCTGCAAACAACCATAGCCACATATACTGAGCAGATAGATTCCCTTACCACCAAACTGAAGCTACACAAGATTGAAGGTTAACCCTTTCAGGGTCCAGAGGCCAAATTTCAAAGTGTGCACCAGGGTCCAAGAATTTTCAAAAAATAATTTTGTTATTTTTTCTTATGAAATGGTAGAGAATCTTTTTTCTGAAGGTAATAAAACAAAAAGTAAGAAATTTAATGGAAAATTCACGAAATTATGCTCCTGCGAATTTTGATGTGTCGGCGATATTTAGGCATCAGCGATTTTGCTGAATTTGACTCCCATTTTAGGCCAATTACAGTATTCCAGTCAACCAAATTCTTAGCTATTTCACTAGTATTACTCCTATTCTATCGATTGAGCACAAGAAATCGCCAAGTCAATTGTGTCAACAACAAAATAAAGTGATCGGAAATTGGTAATTTGGCCAATTTAATGCAAAATTCTAAATATTCCCATTTCAAAATAGGGTTCAGAATAAACAATGCAGGCATTCCTAGAACTAACCTAACATTTCCTCTGTTCATTAGTTCAAATTCAAATTCAAAGTTTATTCTCTATAAGGGTTTACAATTCTGAGTTTACAGAATTTGGTTATTGTGTGGTTTACATGTAGTAAAAAAATAATAATTACAGAGTGTACCACTAGAACACCTAGCATGGCTAGGCATTTTGGGCAGACTTAGATTAATTCTTAAATTTAAAATATTACAAATTATGAGGTAAGTTGGTATTATGGCTAAGTGACTAAATACTAGTTTGTGAATTTAGCAATGTGAATGCTTTTGCTTTGGCACAATACATAGTTTCAGAATTGGAGTATCACAGGCCAACTTATGACTAGTTAGGATTCATTATTTTAAGATTGAGATTGATATTTCTGTTTATGGTCAAATGGGTGAGTGAGTGTAAGTGTGAACCACCAGGTGGTATTCGTGTAATTAGTTGACAGGGTGTATCAGGGAGATAAGATGTTTTCTAATGGTAGTTTTGAAGGTGATGAATGTGTCTGCAGTTCTAGAGTTCTCAGGTAGGGTGTTCCAGATTTTAGGGCCTTTGACATACATTGAATTTTTGTAAAGGTTTAGTCGGACACGGGGAATGTCATAGAGATGTTTGTGTCTGGTGTTATGCCTGTGGGTTCTGTCACAACTATCAAGAAAGCGTTTTAGGTCAAGGTTAATATTGGAATTTAAGGTCCTGTAGATGTAGACTGCACAGTAGTAAGTGTTGATGTACTGAACAGGGAGTAAGTTTAGATCTATGAAGAGTGGGGAGGGGTGTTGCCAGAGATGGGATTTAGTGATTATTCTTACTGCGGCTTTTTGTTGGGTTATTATTGGCTTTAGGTGTGTTGCTGCAGTTGATTCCCAAGCACAAACAGCATAGGTGAGGTATGGATAAATAAGTGAGTGGTATAGTGTGAGAAGGGCATTTTGCGGCACGTAGTATCGTATCTTGGAGAGGATCCCAACCGTTTTGGATACTATTTTGGTTATGTGTTGGATATGGGTGCTGAAATTCAGGTTGTTGTCGAGGTATAGGCCTAGGAATTTGCCCTCATTATGTCTGGCAATTAGAGTGTTGTCGATCTTAATGTTAATTTGCGCAACTCCTGCTCTGCTACCAAACATAATGTAGTAGGTTTTGTCAGTGTTAAGCGTAAGTTTATTGGCTGTCATCCAAGTCGATATTTTGATCAGATCCTCGTTAACAATGGTGTTGAGGGTGGCAAGATTAGGGTGAGAGATGACATAAGTCGTGTCTTCAGCAAAGAGAATGGGGTTCAGGTGTTGGGATACGTTTGGAAGATCATTGATGTATATGAGGAAGAGCAGGGGACCAAGGACACTTCCCTGCGGAACTCCAGTATCAAGTGGCCGTGTTGTTGATGCTGTGTCTTTAATGGTGACATACAGATACCTATTAGTAAGGTAAGATTTGAAATATGCAAGTGCATGGCCTCTTATACCATAATGGTCAAGTTTGTGGAGTAGGATGCCGTGGTCTACTGTGTCAAAAGCTTTTCTTAGGTCAATAAAAATTCCTAGTGGATATTCCTTATTTTCCAATGCTGTGTAAAGCAGATCTAGCATTTTTATAATTGTATCATTAGTGCTTTTATTATTCCTGAATCCAAATTGGCAGGGGTTGAGTATGTTTTGTGTAGTTATAAATGAATATAGTCTCCTGTGCACGAGCTTCTCAAAGATTTTGGATAGCAATGGTAAGTTTGATATTTGCCTATAGTTGTTTAAATCTGTAGGGTCACTACCTTTATGTATTGGTGTAACCCTTGCCGTCTTGAGTAGTTTCGGGAAGGTGCTAGTTTCTAGTGACTTGTTAAAAAGTAATGAAATAGCATGCAAAAGGACATGGGCCGCTCGCTTGTACAATAATGGTGGGACATGAGACAGATTCCCTGAGTTATTTTTAAGTGACTTTATAACCTCGGTGACTTCCGTGGGCTCAGTTGGTGCAAGATTGAAGGAATTTGGGAAATTCCCATCTAGGTAGTCCCCGGCATGGGCATTGGTACGTGGGATTTTATTGGCGAGATTAGATCCTATGGTTGAGAAGAAGTCGTTTATCTTGTTAGCTGTGTCAGTGGGATGCAGTGGTGTTTCATTAGGTTTAGTTAGGACAATATTCGTTTTTTTTTCAGTTTGTGGGTCCCTAGAATCTGAGAGAGTGTTTTCCAGGTCTTTTTTTATATCTCCTCTAGTGTCTGTGAATCTACTGGAGTAGTATAGTTGTTTGGCTTTCTTTATTACTTTGGTGAGAACTGATGAATAGTGTTTAAGAATATCTTTGTGTATTAAGCCCTGTCTATATTGCTTTTCATATTGGTGTTTCTTATCAATGGATTTCAGAATGGTGCTGGTTAGCCATGGGCAACCAAGCCATTTGTTTGTGATCCGTTTTGTTTTTATAGGACAATGTTTGTTGTATAGTCTAAGTAATTTGTTAAGAAAAATGTCTGTCCAGTCATCAATACCATTGGCCTTGGAGAATTCTGTAGGCCAGTCAACAGTCTCTAGGTCAGCTGTGAACTTCCTTATTGAGGCCTCGTCATGGAGTCTAAATGAAACTTTGTTGTATTCAAGTGGTGGTTTACTAATGTTTGTCAAGAGGAAGGTAGGGTAGTGGTCTGTAGTGCTATCTGTGATTATCCCTGATTTAAGGGGGGCTAGTATATTGGTCCATATGTGGTCTATTATGGTTGCACTTGTCTCAGTGAGCCTGGTTGGTTTAGTTATTGTTGGTATGAAAAGTGTGTTGTTCATATTGTTGATGAAATCAGTTACAGGCTGATCATCTAGTAGGCCAAGGTTGATGTTGAAGTCTCCAGCTAAGAGAAGGTGGTGCTTATTCATTTGTCTGTTTGTTATTAGTGCCTTTAATGTCTCACTGAAATTTGGGATGTTTGTGTGGGGTATCCGGTAAATGGCACCGATTGTTATAGGCGTCTTAAGTTTTTTTACAGCAAAATTAGCAAAAATGTATTCCCCATATTCATCACTAAAGCAAGTGGTGCTAATACAAGATAATTGGTTAGAGTAATAGATTGCAATACCACTCCCAACTTGGTATGGTCTGCAGTTGTGGATTGCTGTGTATCCTGGTAGAGGGTAGATATGTATTGTGTCCTCCTTAAGCCAGGTCTCAGTAAGAATAATGCAGGAGAAGGGTGTCTTTAGTGATTCAAGGAGTGCCAGGAGGTCATCATAGTGTTTGCTTAAGGACCTGATGTTGTAGTTAAGTACTGATAGACTTTTAGCATTGTTTAGGATAGTGCTGGCTTGTGATGCTGTGTAACAAAGGCAGTTACTTTCCAATGTTTTGATTGGGTGTCAGATTATGGAGGTTTAGATCAGGGTCAATGTGATCAATCATCTTCTAGGTTTAAATTATGGTTATTTATATC